AGGGTTTAGGGCTTCCAGGGTCTAGGGTTTAGGGTTTGGGGTTAGGGTTCAGAAAGGACTGCCGGGAGGTGGAAGTCTCCATGTAGCTTTGATGCTTCAGCTAGACTTTCTGCATCTGTCGCCGTTCTGGATTCACCTCACAAGCAGTCCTGTAAAATACCAGCCATGACCTTCTGTGAACAGGTTCGGGATTTTCTGCCATGTTTCGAAACACAGCTCCTGCTCAGGGTTTAGAGTTTAGGGCTTAGGGCTTAGGGCTTAGGGTTTAGGGTTTAGGGTTTAGAAGACCAAACTGCCAGTGCATGCATAGCATACTCGTAGTTGTCCAGTATCCTATGAGAACTGAAGGTTCACCTGTGGGATTATATGAAGCAGGGTTTATATTTCTTGTCCCCCAAAAAGACAACCAGTATATACACTCACCAATATAAAAAAGGAGCCTTACATACACTCACCAAGAACAGCAATATAAACCCTGTTTCATATGAGAATATATTACCCCCAAGAAAGGTGAAAGGTTACCTACGTAGTCTACTACTGAGTACTCTGATTGTTTCATGGGGTAAGGGTTCATGAATTTTCCCCCTAGGGCGAAAAAGGACTGGTGCAATGGGTTTATGCCTTGTGGTTCAGCGATTCTATGGTTTGGTGCCTCTGCCTCCCTCTAGGCAGAACCGATTGGTTCAACGGTTTTAGTGAATTTGTGGCTTTCGGATGTGGGGGGCTCTAAACCCTAAACCCTAAACCCTAAACCCTAAACCCCAAGCCCTGAACCCTGAACCCTAAACCGGGGTGCAAAACAACGCTTTCATTCGTTCTCGGGGTTCGGTGGCACGGCCACCACTTCGCATGGGGGGTCGTCCCAACATGCCGCCGAGCCGTGTGCTTACGAAAAAGAACTTCATCTCCAGGGTCTGGTGGAGGGAACTCCCGTGTTTTGGGCGCGCCCTCTTCCACTCAAACCGGCTCATCAGTCATAGCCGCGACGATCGGGTAGCTTCACGAAGGTTTGAGTGTCTGCCACGGTATCCCAACATGCAACAAATACGTGCACTGTGTAGTTTGCTACACGTCATCTGAATATCATCTACATGAGCGGACATGGCTATAACCAAGGCCTGTGGTTATCACCATACCCATTCTCTGCATTTTCGGGGTTTCGGGGGCGTCGGGCGTTCACGGTCCTCAGGTTTGGGGAAACCCCCCAGCCCTGCTCTTCTTGCTGCTTGCTAGGGTGCTTCGTTTTGCAACGTGGTGGGGTCGTTCTTGCTGGCATCCCCACCCCAGATATACACCAAAAACAACCTGAACCCTAAATCCTGACACCCTATTCAGTGTTTAAGGTTTGGGGGTTGGGCCCACGCCCTAAAACCCTGAACCCTACAACTGCCTATAATGCCCTAAATGTTGAAACCTAAGCCCTAAATCCTAGACCCCTAAACCCAAAACCCTAACCCCTAAACCCCTAAACCCTACACCCTAAGCCCTAAGCCCTAAGCCCTGAACCTTAAACCCTAGCCCTAAACCCTAAACCCTAAACCCTAAACCCTAAACCCTAAACCCTAAACCCTAAACCCTAAGCCCTAAGCCCTAAGCCCTAAGCCCTAAACCCTAAACCCTAAACCCTAAACCCTAAACCCCAAACCCTAAACCCTAAACCCTAAACCCTAAACCCTTGATTATTACCAACAGCCAGGCCCAGCGTCGGCGTCGTCGGCGCCCTTCTGCTTAAAGAGCTCGGGCCGGTGCTGCTTGACGTAGCTTAGGTTGGACTTGGTCCTTTGCTTGGGGTTTAGGGTTTAGGGTTTAGGGTTTAGGGTTTAGGGTTTAGGGTTTAGGGTTTAGGGTTTAGGGTTTAGGGCTAGAACCAGACGTAGCTCAAGTTGGACTTGGGCCTCCCAAAGGCTTGGGGTTTAGGGTTTGGGGTTTTCGCGTGTCAAAAGGGCTGAGGAGAGTTAGGGTTTAGGGTTTAGGGAAAGTTTAGGGTTTAGGAGTTTAGGAGTTTAGGAGTTTAGGAGTTTAGGAGTTTAGGAGTTTAGGAGTTTAGGAGTTTAGGAGTTTAGGAGTTTAGGAGTTTAGGGTTTAGGAGTTTAGGGGGGGAGGGGTAAACACAACTCTCACGATCCCCTCTTGAAAGAACCAGTTCAAGTGTGAAAGAAATCAAGAGCGGTCTGTGAGGGGTTTCGGGCCTAGTCGTAAGGAGGTTTAGGGTTTAGGGTGACTGCGGAACTGGTTACAAGCTGACGACCCTTCTGGGAAGTGGTTTAAGGTTGATTTTAACCCAAAATGACCTGTGCCCCCACCGGTGGACTGTCCTCGCCGTCATGGCCTTTTTCTTGGGCGCGCTGTTCGCCAGCTCCTGCATGTGACCCTTAAACGCGATGATCCGCTAACCCTTCAGTGTTTAGGGCGTGGGGTTTAGGGGTTTGGGCAGGGTTTAGAGGGTTTGGCAAGCTTAGGCTTTGGGAATTAGAGGGTTGAAGGCTTAGAGCCCCCTTACATTCACACCTCCGAAAAAAAACAACCGAAAAAACGCTTTCCTGCAAAAGACGTACCTGCTGCAGTACAGCATCCTAACTTCACTCTGAAAAGTCTGGAATCCTGATAGAGCTGCTGCTCTTGCGTCATCAGCGTCTTCTGCATGGTGCAGAGGGGGACGCCAAACCATGTGTTCGGCGAAGGCTTGGCTGGGGGTTCAGGGTTTAAGGGGCTTAAGGGTTTTAGGCTGTTACGGTTCAGGCTGGAAGGCTGTCAGGGGGGGTTTAGGGTGTAGGGTTTGGGGTTTAGGGTTTAGGGTTTAGGGTTTACGGTTTAGGGTTTTACTGTAGGCTGCAAGTGCTGCAGAATGTGCTGCTGGGTGGGGGGCGGAGAGCTACGGTCCTTCCCGCGGTGCTTCTTTGCGGGGGGGCCTAAATCCTAAACCCTAAACCCTAAACCCTTACCCTACTTTGGGGGCCCCAAGCCCTAAAACCCGAAACCGCAACAGGCACTCGGCTGGGATTGGGTGCGTCGCCGCGTCTTGAAAGCTTCGGGGGCCTTCTTCTCTTCCAGGAGGCCTAATTAGCACGCCTAAACCCTAAACCCTAAACCCTAAACCCGAAATCTTAAACCCTCAAACCTTTTTGTGGTTGTCTGGGGTGCCCAGGCTCTGTGCGTGCGTCGTGCTGCGGGCTGGTCGCATGAAGCTTCGAGCCGTAGTCGACAAGGTTTAGGGTTTAGGGTTTAGGGTTTAGGGTTTAGCGTTTAGGGTTTAGAGTTTAGGGTCTAGGGTTTAGGGTTTAGGGTTTCTCTAGCTAGTCAGACCCTGCAGGAAGACTTGAACCCTGAACACTAAACACTAGCACCCCTAAAAAGCCTGTAAAGCCTATGAACCCTCTAGAGCCTACAAACCCTCAACCCTAGACCCTAAACCTTATGAACCCAATAAACGCGAACAACCTTCAAGCAACTTCAACCCCAAACACTGCACACTATAAACCCTCAAAATCCTTGCAAACCCAAAAAACCTAAGCCCTAAGCCCTAAGCCCAAAACCCGACGCCCTAAACCCTAAACCCTAAACCCTAAACCCTAAACCCTAAAGCCTAAAGCCCTAAGCCAAACCTTAACATGTCTGGAGCTCATCCTTGCCTAACGAATCATAAGGAACCAAGGGGGTGGAAGGGAAAGGGTGTAAGGTTCTGGGTTAGGGTTTGGGGGGGGGCTCCATATTCCCAACATAGGGGCCTAAGTATCCCAAACGAGCTTAAGGGAATATGCGCCCTTGACACCCCCTCCCTTCCACCTTCTTGCTTCCTGATAACTTGCGCAACTAACAATCGCAAAGGGGAGGAGTCCCGTCATACTCGGCTATGGTTTTGGGTTTAGGGTTTAGGGCTCTAGATGTTGCCCCCTTCTGCATGAAAGATTAATACCTGTGTGAGGCCCAGACCCTACCCTGAAGCCTGAACCCCCTAAGCTCTTAACCCAACGCGCAGACCCGCTATACGTACTTACCGATCTTGGGGTCGTTCCATGGTCCCTTAATATGGGCCCTTAGACGGGTACCCCTTATATACCCCTTATGTACCTCAGACAAAATAAGGGCCCATAAAAGGAGGTTCGGGACCATATTCAGGGACCATGAAACTACCCGTACTCAACAAGCTGTGGCTAAATTTCATCCCCTGAAGTCGGGTTCAGGGTTTGGGGTTTGGGGTTTAGGGTTTAGGGCTAGGGTTTAGGGTTTAGGGTTTAGGGTTTAGGATTTAGGGTTTAGGGTCTAGGGTCCAGGGCTTAGGGCTTAGGCTGCACTATGGCACTTCCATTCAAAGGATTTGGGAGCTTCGGGCCTACGGGGTCCCAAAGAGCCCAATATTGCTTAAGGAATATTCCTTAAAATCATGTAGGGATCCTTAATATGATTTAAGGTATATTGCTTAATTCAGCTCTATTGGGCTCTTTGGAGTTAAGGTTCGGATTTGGGGTTAAGGGCTTGGGGCTTAGGGCTTGGAGTTTAAGCTTCGTATGTAGACGGTTCTCCGCGCACCTTTGAGCAACAACACCTTTGATTGTCCCTGAGCATCACACAAGCCGAAGGCACCATGTTCAAGCACGCTCCCCGAAAAGAGGGATAACTATGCCCTAAACCCTAAACACCCTAAACCCTACACCTTAACCCTAAAAACCCTAAACCCAGAAAACCCAAAACCCTACAAACGCTACAAACCCTAAACCCTAAACCCCTAAACCCCTAAACCCCTAAACCCCTAAACCCCTAAACCCCTAAACCCCTAAACCCCTAAACCCCTAAACCCCTAAACCCCTAAACCCCTAGACTTTAGCCGCTTGGTTTTTCACACTGCCGATTCAGCAGTGTCGGGTCTGGCGTCCTCTGCTCGCTCGGCGAGATCACAGGGTGCAGCTTGGATTGGTCTCTGAGAGGAAGTTTAGGGTTTAGGGTTCAGGGTTTAGGGTTTAGGGTTTAGGGTTGAGGGTTGAGGGTTCAGGGCAGTATGCAGCCTACTCCTTGCTCATCAGGCTCTCAGCCCGCCCTCGGACGGGGGCCGCGGGGGCCGCTTTGGCGACGTCCTCCGAGGTTTTGGGGTCTCGGCCCTTCACCCGAGAGTCTGAGTCTAGGGTTTCGGGTTTAGTGTTCAGGGTTTAGGGTTCAGGGTTTAGGGTTTGGGGTTTGGGGTTTCGGGTTTCGGGCTGAGGGTTTAGTCAGGTTCTGCTAAGGGCTTACAGGCGTTTAAGCCCTAAACACGATGAAGGCTAAGGCCCCATAAGCAGGATGGCCATGAACACCCTCTGAAAAAAAAAACATTCTTACATGTGATCCTCTTACACCCAGTAGGGTAGGCACAAAAATGTCCGAAGGGCATGCCTAGACAAGCTCACTGAGCCCTAGACACTCATAAGATCCAGTTAAGCCCCTGGGGTTGAGAGGGCTCTGGAAGCCTCATCTAAAACCAGGGTTTAGGGTTTAGGGTTTAGGGTTTAGAGACTAGCGTGTTCGGACTGTTTCAGTGGTGCAGGGCTTGCGGTATTGGGGAGCAGAAAATTTCGCTGCCTGTGGGTGTGAACTTATTTTCATCACCCTAAACCCCAAACCCTAAACCCCCAACTTTGAGTTTGTAGGATTTAGCGCGGGATCCGACCCTGAGTGCTCAAGGTAGGAGGTCAGGAGCACTTTCTTGTTGAAAGGCAGCTGGAAGAAGTGGAACTCTTCCAGGGGCTCCTTGGCAAAGACGCGAGCGTCAAGCAGCCTCAGCATGAAGACGACGACGGCTTCTTCCACATCGAGAAAAGAACCGTCAGGACACTAAACCCTAAACCCTAAACCCTAAACCCTAAACCCTAAACCCTAAACCGAAAGCAGGGAGATCCCCAGTGGATAGGAGTCCTCCTCCAAGCCTAAGCCCTAAGTCCCAAACCCGAACTAAAGCTTGAGCCGGAGACGTTTAAACCGCTATAAACCCCTAAAGCCTAAACCCTATGGCTCAGGCCCTAAACCCAGGAGAAGGTGCCGACGTCGAATCCTTTCCGGGCGAGCTACGCAAGCAGTTGCAAGTGATCCGGCACGATCCGAAATCCAGCTCCCAAGTGGCAGGGTTTAGGGTTTAGGGTTTAGGGTTTGGGGTTTGGGGTTTAGGGCCCGCCTCTTCAACCAGGAGCAACAAGAAACCAGGGAAGCACTGGGAAGTACAACAGTAACATTGTGCCGTGCACATGCTAGAGCCCCAGACCCTTTACCCTAAACCCATGGATTGTATGTGGCTAGGGCCCTCAAGCTGTAAGTCCTACACTCTAGAAGTTGGGGGTTTAGGGGTGTAGGGGTTTAGGGGTTTAGGGTACCCTTCAGACCCCTGAACCCTCAACCCTCCATAATCTCGCACTCGACGAGATTCGGAGGTTTGGGGCCTGGGCACTAAAAGTTTCAAGGACTCAAGAGGTTTCCAGTTTCCCAAGGCCCGAAACAGTAAAGGATTTAGGGTTTTGGGGTTTAGGGCTTGGGGACCCCTAAACCCTAAGCCCTAAGCCCTAAACCCCAAACCCTAAACCCGCTTTGGGGTGCTTACCCGGATGCCTCCTCCTCGCTGGTGTCCTCCTCGCTGGGGACGAGACCGCCAAGGATGTCGCGCACCTGCCATCGAAGGAAGGGTTTAGGGGTTAGGGGTTAGGGGTTAGGGGTTAGGGGTTAGGGGTTAGGGGTTAGGGCTTAGGGGTTAGGGGTTAGGGGTCAGGGGCTAGGGGGTTAGGGGTTGGGGGTTAGGGATTAGGGTTTAGGGTTTAGGGTGCCAGACCCAGAGGTCATTGGAAGGATTTGAGAAGATTTCCCGAAACCTCGCGCGATCGCGGGGCTTCTGACGCTTCCTGCGTTCATCCGTTTAGGGTTTAGGGTTGGGTTGAGGGCTTAGAGTTATACACCAGATTCCTAGGGGGCACCCTGTCTTCAGGTTCCCTTCTAGCGGTCCCCTCAGGTTTAGGGTTTAGGGTTTAGGGTTTAGGGTGTAGGGTTTAGGGTTTAGGGTTAGGGTTTAGGGTTTAGGGTTTAGGGTTTAGGGGGTACAAGCATCAGGGTATAGGGCCTTCCGAGGCTTCGGAGGCTCCACACAAAGGCCGGAGAACCTCGGAAGTCCATGGCCTGTCAACCCCAACGCCCCTACGCCCTAAGGATGTTTTGGGTTTGGGGCTTGGGTTTAGGGTTTAGGGTTTAGGGTTTAGGGTTTAGGGTGTTTTGGTGGTCCCGGAACCCTAAACCCCCTCCACCACAGCAAGCCACCACAAACACCGACATCTGCACTTTATATACCCTGCAAAAAGTTACAAACCCTAGCTCATCCCTAACCCCTAAACGCCTTAGCCGGCTAACGGAATGGTCACAGCCCCCGCACTACTCTTGGGGTAGTTGCATGCCTTTATTCAAAACTCATGTAACTTCCCCTCAAACCCCAAAGATCTCATTTTTGGCTAAGACCCCAAAGATCCCGAAATCCGACTTATGTTCAACCCCCCCCACCCCCCCCCCCCCCCCCCCCCCCCCCCCCCAAACTCTACCCCCCCTTTCTAAACCCTGAGCCCTACGCCCAACAACCTCAAGCCCCAAACCCCAAATCCACAGCCCCTAAACCCTAAACCCTGAACCCTATGAATACTATGAAAATTATGAACCCTATGAACCCTATGAACCCTATGAACCCTATGAACCCTATGAACCCTATGAACCCTATGAACCCTATGAACCCTATGAACCCTAAACCTTAAACCCTAAACCCTAAACCCCGTAAGCCGTGCGGCCTCGGAGGAGGTGGACTTGCGACGCGCTGGCGCCTGCAGGAGCTAAGGCTATGGGAGGGCTTAGGGTTTAGGGTTTAGGGAGAGAGTTACAGGGGTTTGAGGGGATCAGGGGTTTAGGGTTTCGGGGTGAACGGCTTGGGAAGATTTAGGGTTCATCCCTGGTTAGATAACCCTTATATACACGTTACATAATAAGGGACCCTACTTCGGATCCCTATAAACAAGGGTAAGGGACTATCGTGAGGGCCCATATTTCCAACCTTAGATTCATGCTCTTCAACCCTAAGCCCCACACACTAGTATCCGTAAACCCTAAACCCTAAACCCTAAACCCTAAACCCTGCTGTCTCCGCGGGTTTGGTGCCAAGCTGACCCCCGCTCCTCGTGCGTCGGCTTGGCGTCGGAGGTCTCCGACTCCTTTTTGGGCTTAGGGGTTAGGGGGTTTAGGGGGTTGTTAGGGGGTTTAGTGTTTAGGGTTTAGGGTTTAGGGGTTTAGGGGTTTAGGGGATTTAGGGGGTTTAGGGGGTGTAGGGGGTGTAGGGGGGGTAAGAGGGTGTCACGGGGGGGGGGGGGGGGGGCTTTAAGGGGGCTTAGGGGGCTTGGGGGGTTCAGGGGGGTTGAGGGGTTTAGGCTTAGGTAGGGGGTTTAGGGGGTTTAGGAGGTGTAAGAGGTTTAGGGGGTCTGGGGGGTTTTAAGGGGGTTTGGGGGGTTTTGAGAGGGTTTAGGGAGAGGGTTTAGGGTTTCTAGGATATAGGGGTTTTAGGGGGGGGTTTAGGGTTTCTAGGGTTTAAGGGGCTTAGGGCTGAGTAATGGTTTTTAGGGGGCATAGGGAGGTTTGGAGGGTCCAAGGGCTTACAGCTTTGGGAGGGTTTCAAGCTGCAGGGCTACTGGCAGGGTTAAACTGAGGACAATTTGGGGCTGTAGGGTTTAGGGTTTAGGATTTAGGGTTAAGAGTTTAGGGTTTAGGGTTAAGAGTTTAGGGCTTAGGGTTAAGAGTTTAGGGTTTCGGGTTAAGAGTTTCGGGCTCTTCTTCGCAACCCTGAGCCCCAAACCACACAAAGCCAAGCCTCCTCCCCCCCCCCCCCACAGAGTCCATCTAAGCTGTGGACGGAACAACCCCGCAGCACCAAACCCTAAACCCTGAACCTGAAACCCTGAAACCCTAAACCCTAAACCCTGCGACCCTGAACCCTAAACCCTAAACTCTGAACCGGAAACCCCTATATCAAACTCTGCAGCCTCTCGCTAAAGCTCAAGGGGTCCCTAAACCCTAAACCCTAAACCCTAACACCTAACACCTAACACCTAAACCCTAAACCCTAAACCCTAAACCCTAAACCCTAAACCCTAAACCCTATGGCTAAAGCCCAAGGGGTCCAAACCCGACAGTTCCCTGCGTAGACCTCAGCCCTCGAGCCTCATCCCTGAAGCCCTGGCAACAACAACGTCAACCTAAACTACAACCTAGCCCTAAACCCTAAACCCTAAGCCCTAAACCCTAAACCCTAAACCCTAAACCCTAACACCTGAACCCTGAACCCTAAACCCTGAACCCTACTCGGTCCTACTCTCCCCTAGGGTTTAGGGGTCAGGGGGTGTATGGTACAGGGTTAAGCCCAAAATTCGGCCATGTCCTCCTCACTTCCCTGGGAGGCGAGGCGGCGTTCATGTTGTGGGTTTAGGGTTTAAGGTTTAGGGTTTAGGGTTTAGGGTTTAGGGTTTAGGGTTTAGGGTTTAGGGTTTCGGGTTTAGGGCAAGTTTAGGGTTCAGGGCTTGGACTTGAGGCTTTAGGGGATGGAATTGAGGGTTTAGGGTTCAGGCTTTACAGTTTAGGCTCGGGGTTGAGGGTAAGAGGGTCGAATTTTTAGTTATATGCTTGGCTGTCGGTTGCGGGTCCAGACTGTTTCTAGAGGTGAAGGGCTTAGGGTTCGGGTGTTTATTGAACGATGCCAAAAAAAGGGTTTAGGGTTTAGGGTTTAGGGTTTAGGGTTTAGGGTTTAGGGTGCCGTCAAAGCCTCTGCGGGCCCACACGATGATCCGGTCAAGCTCGTTCGCCACCCCCTGTTGGTAGCCCGCCGGTAATGTCATGAGGAACCAACGCGGGCACTGAAGATTTGTAAACGTCATCAATTGACAAGGGATGTCCAGCAAGTACGACAGAATAACGGTCATCCTAAACCCTAAACCCTAAACCCTAAACCCTAAACCCTAAACCCTTGACATCCCAAGTCTTGAAGCCCTTCAGCGGCCTGGAGTCGAATCAGCCAAGTCGAGGGCATTTTGTGCTTAGGGTTTTCGAGACCAAGCTACTATTTACTGAAGAACCCACCCCCAAAAATATTCAATAGGTTTAGGGTTTAGGGTTTAGGGTTTAGGGTTTAGGGTTTAGGGTTTAGGGTTTAGGGTTTAGGGAATAACAAGCCCTATATGTTGCCCTGATAAGGAATCGTACTTTTTTTTGCTGAGGGTTATTAAGCAAGTAGTAAGGAGTTAGGATTTCAGGGCCTTCACTACAGCAGGGCCGAAGTAGGATCAGTGTTGGTAGACTGCTGGGCTTCGATATAAACACACCCCCCAAAACCTAAACCATGAGACTTAAGCCCTAAACCCTGAATCGTGAACCCGAAACCCTAAACCCTAAACCCTAAACCCTAGCCCTAAACCCTAAACCCTAAACCCCAAACCCAGCAAACTTTAGCAGAACCCTAGGGCTCCCCACGGAGGTTTCAGACTCCTCAGACGACTCCTCCTCATCCTCCTGTTGGGTTTGGGGGTGTAGGGCTAGGGTTTAGGGTTTAGTGTTCAGGGTTTAGGGTTTGGGGTTTGGGGTTGAGGGTTTAGGGCTAGGGTTCAGGGTTCAGGGTTCAGGGTTTAGGGGTTACGGTTTGGGGTTGAGGGTTGACGGTTTAGGGTGTAGGGTTGGGGTTTAGGGTTTAGGGTTTGGGGTTGAGGGGTTGAGGGGTTGAGGGTTTATGGTACGGTTTAGGGCCACAGCCACAGCGCAGGAGGATGCAAGCTTCGAGATTGAAGGCCTTGGGGTATTTTAGGATTTAGTGGTGCCCTGAAAGCCTAAACCTTAAACCCCGAAACCCCCCAAGCCCCCACAAGGGTGTCAGCCCACATTCCGGCCTTGGGGTATTTTAGGATTTAGTGGTGCCCTGAAAGCCTAAACCTTAAACCCCGAAACCCCCCAAGCCCCCACAAGGGTGTCAGCCCACATTCCGCACTTGGCTGCAACAGAAATGTCATGTTTCGCGACCGGGCGCCGAGATCCAATCGCGCGCGCCCGCACAACGTTTGATCGATGCAACTCTGATCCCCCAGACCCGTGCGTTTAAAGTTTCGGGTTTTGGGTTAACCCCTCAACGCCTGAACCCCAATACCAAAGCCTCTGAACCCCAAACTCGAATACTAAACCGTAAACCCTAAACCCTAATCCCTAATCCCTAAAAACTCAACCCTAACCCTGGACATTCCCCAAGCGTTTCATCCGAGGGGCCTCGTCTGAGTCGATGCGGACGATCTCAGCCTAGCTCAAAACATTAGGCCGTTCTTTTTGGGGGTGGGCTTTCCCCCCCCCTAAGCTGTAAACCCTAAACCCCAAGCCCCAAACCCGAAATCCTTCAAGTCTGGTTTAGGGGTTTAGGGTTTACAGGGATTATAGGGTTTAGGTAGGAGGCCTAGACTTCTTACCCGAGTTGTGCTTTAAACTCGTTGAAAATTATTTATGAGTAGGTTCCCTTGTAAGGGCGGAAGGGAAACGAACACAATTATCCCAAAAACACCACCCAGATAGGAGTTTTGGGAGCCTGGGCCATGGTAGGGGCACGTACTCCAGATGTGCCAAAGGTTTAGGGCTTTGGGTTTTAGGGCTTAGGGTTTAGGTTTTAGGGCTTAGGGTTAGGGCTTTGGGGTTTAGGGCTTAGGGTTTGGGGTTTAGGCCTTGAGTTTTAGGGCTGAGGGATTATAGGCTTGCTTTTTGGGAGTGGTGTTGAGGTTTCGCGACCTGACAGTTCTAGGATTTAAGGTGTCGGGCTTCGGGATCTGAGGGCGAGGGTCTACGCCCTATGGGCCTGAGGGGTCGAACGCGAGGGTCTAAGACTACGGCTTCAAAGATCTAGGGATCTGAGAGTTTAGGGTTTAGGGTTAAGGGGTGTTGTAAGGGGTTTGGGCGGATGAAGGAAGCAACTTGTCTCCGACGACTCGTGTTGGGATCCCGACATTGTCGAGCCGGTTGTCGAGTTGGCCACCGAACAGCTGCCCTCGAAACTCTGAGCACTGGCACCATCGCAGAGGGCCGTCAACTTAGGGTTTAGGGCTTAGGAAGCCCTAAACCCTAAACCCGAAACCGTAAACCCTAAACCACACTTGAAAGAAGGAACATACTAAGGCTTCCCTCAGATCCCTGGAGATCCTATGAACTGCTAGCAGGAATAAGAGCCTCAAGCCCTGTCCCCTCTATGGGAGTGTAAGGTTTAGGGTTTAGGGTTCAGGGTTCAGGGTTTAGGGTTTAGGGGTTAGGGTTTAGGGTTTAGGGTTTAGGGGTTAGGGTTTAGGGTTTAGGGTTTAGGGTTTAGGATTTAGGGTTTAGGGTTTAGGGTTTAGGGTTTAGCGTTTAGGGTTTAGGGTTTAGGGTTTAGGGTTTAGGGTTTAGGGTTTAGGGTTTAGGGTTTAGGGTTTAGGGTTTAGGGTTTAGGTTTAGGGTTTAGGGCTTAGGGCCTTAAACCACCGATAGCCAGCAGGAGAAGGGTTCCGTCATTGTAATGTGGCTACGGGCTCATCTCCAACGTGGTAGTGAAGCCCTCCATACAGGAGATAGGACCCCGAACCCGAAAACCCGAAACCCCAAGCCCTACATCCCAAACCCCGAAATTCCCTCAAACCCCAAACCCTAAACCCTAAACCCCAAACCCTAAACCCCAAACCCTAAACCCCAAACCCTAAACCCTAAACCCCAAACCCTAAACCCTAAAGCCTGCACCCCAACTGCCAAGAAGCCTCCTTCTTGGGCGGCTCGGCTGGAACACGGGCCGGGGCCGCCTCTTCCACAATTCGGGCGTTTGACCCAGGGCCCATAGAAGCTACCTACAGGGTTTAGGGTTTAGGGTTTGGGGTTTAGGGTTTGGGGTTTAGGGTTTGGGGTTTAGGGTTTGGAGGCCTCATTGGGGTGCAGGAGTTGCACCCGAAACTGTAAGGGTCGTTGCATGGTCCCTTCTGAATATGGGCCCTTCATCGGGGAGCCCCTATGTGCCCCTTACATACCCCGTTTCAGGGTTCAGGGTTCAGGGTTCAGGGTTTAGGGTTTAGGGTTTAGGGTTTCAAGCCCAGGGGCGGATACTTCAGAACCTTTTGAAGAAGGTCAGGGACCATATTAAGGGACCCATAGAAAACCCGAAACCCGCAACCCGACACCCTGAACCCTATAAACCCTAAAGGGTTCCTGGCAGGGTTTGGGGTTTCGGGTTTAGGGTTCTTGCGTTTGAGGCTTTTGTGGTTTGGGGTCGTAAGCTTCGCGCTTAGGGTTTTGTGGTTTTGGGGACCTCGTAGGTTTGAGGGCTAACCGGTTTTGTGGTTTCGGGTCTTGTTTTATTTTTATTATTTTTTTTTTTTTGGGGGGGGGGATGCTTTTCGCGTAATTTGCCCAGTAAACCCCAAGAATGAAAGCGGAGGACCCAACCCTAAAGCACTAATCCCTGTGTTAAGCATACTTGGCGGGTTCATGGTACTTATAACCCAGTTATAGCTGTACTTATAACACACTTTGAAGCCCCTTAAGTGCCCTAACATGGTGATAGTTGGGTTATAAGGGCAGTTAGAATTGGGTGAATAAGTAAGTACCAGGACCCTAACCCTAAACCCTAAACCCTAAACGCTCCAGAGCTTTTTGGAGAATCACTGGCCTCCACTGGGGTGGGCGCCGCGACAGGTGTCGGCTTAACGACAGGTGTCGGCTCAACGGCAGGCGTCGGGTCAGCAACAGGTGTCGGCTGAACCTGCAGCAGACAATAAGGTGTACTAGGGTTTGGGTTTAACGTTTAGGGAATATACCTTGAACTATATTAATACAGTATCCATATCCCTGTCAGGAGTTCGGGCATATCCCTCACCCCCTACGCCCCGGAACAAAAACAGTCACGAACATCTCCAACACCAAATGCCCAAGAAACCCTAAACCCTAAACCCTAAACCCTAAAGCCCTAAACCCTAAACCATAAAAAGCACTAATGCTTCGAGGCCCGAGAAATCCCTAGCGCTGAAAGCTTAGTCCCTCTAAGGGTAGTCACGTTGACGTATGGGCCCTTAAAGGGTACCCCTTATATACCCTTATATACCCTATACGAATTGAGGGCCCATACATCAGCCCTTTAAAGGAGGTTGGGCTTGGAGCCCCTAGAGCCCTCAAACCCCAGCAGCCCTAAAAGCGCTGGCTTAGGGAGGGAGGCTTGCTCCAAAAGCTGGGAGTCAACCTTGCGAATAACCCTACACCCTGACCCCTAAACCCTGAACCCTAAACCCTGAACACTGAACCCTAAACCCTGAACCCTAAACCCTGAACACTGAACCCTATACCCTAAACCCTGAACACTGAAGCCTAAACCCTGAATGAACGCTGAACCCTAAGCCTAAACCCTAAACCCTAAACCCCAAACCCTAAACTCCCTCAACCCGAGCCATGCCCGCTTTCTCGATGTGTCTAAAGCCTTCTGAGCTCGCCGCGTTCGGAGGCCGCTCTTTGGGAGTCAGCACCTAGCGGTTTAGGGTTTAGGGTTTAGCGAACGCCAAAACCCCAAAACTCTAGAACCCTTAATAGACCCTAAACCCTAAACCCTAACTGCTGGGTTCTCTACTCCCTAAACCCTGAACCCTATACCCTAAACCTGAACCCTAAACACTGAACCCTAAACCCAAAACCCAAAACCCCCCTAACCCTAAAACCCTAATCAAAACGGCCTAAACCCTATGGAACCCCAAAACCCTAAAACCCTAAAACTTGAAAGCCCAAGACCCCAAAGCCCTAAGCCCTAAACCCTAACTGCTGGGTTCTCTACACCCTAAAACCTAAACCCTAAACCGTACCAAAAACCCTACCCTATGAACCCCCAAACCCTAAAACCCTAAGCCCAAAAACCCCAAACCCAAAACCCTATAAGTCAAAAAACCCTAAATAGAACCTAACCCCTTGAAACCCGAATTAAAACGGCCAAAACTCTAAGAACCCCAAAACCCTAAAACCCTAAACCCCAAAACCCTAAAAAAACTAAACCTTATGAACCCCCAAGTGTGCCTCCGGTACCGATGCGGCGGTGGCTCCTCTCACTGTGGCCGCGCGTTAGGGGTCGGATGGCTCGGGGTTTTTAAGGGGTTTAGGGTTTAGGATTTAGGGTTTGGGGTTTAGGGTTTAGGGGTTTAGGGTTTAGGGTTTAGGGTTTGGGATGCTCTATATTGTTAAAAGGGCTTCTCAAGGGAACCTGGCACCCCCCCAAAAAGGCAATAAGCTTTCTCAAAAAGGGAAGTAGGTTAGGTTAGTTCTGGGTAGGATATCTAGGATACCAAAAAGTGGCTCCGGGATTGTTCCCCCTAAGCCTGTAGGAAGTAGGTGTTTAGGGCTTAGGGTTTCAGGGAATCGGGTTTATGAACCCGAAGCCAGTAGAGCTTAGCGTTTCTTTTGGGAGCCTTAACCCAGGCTTCGTTATTTAGGGATACCAAGAAGAGGAGATGCTTCGACTCTGTGGCGGGAACATGTTCAAGTCGTGCTCCACAGACGCTCGACGGGCACTGTGCCTGTCTGAACGGCCACTCCGGCCTTCCGCATGTGTAAGGCGATGCGCCATTTCCAAAGCCCACGCAGCCGGACCGTTTTCAGCAGCCGGCGGTAGTGCAGCTGCACTTCGGTCTTCAGCAGCCGGCGGTAGTGCAGCTGCACTTTGGTCGTCATCACGCTGGGCTTGCCGGCAATCTCGCGCCCCTTGCATTCCTTGGCGCCGAAACGCAGGATGTTGCGCTCGCCTTCCCTACAGACCCTAGGCCCTACATCCTAAGCCCTAAACCCCTAAACCCCTAAACCCCTAAACCCTAAGCCCTATACATCCTAAACTCTAAACCCTAAAACCCTAAGCCCTACATCCTAAACCCAAAACCCCTAAACCCTGAACCCTAACAACCTACAACCCTAAGCCCTACATCCTAGACCCAAAACCCCTAAACCCCTAAACCCCTAAACCCTAAAATCCTAAGCCCCACATACCCTAAACCCTAAAACCCCAAAACCCTAAAACCCTCAAACCCTAAACCCTAAAACCCTAAAACCCTAAAACCCTAAAACCCTAAAACCCTAAAACCCTAAAACCCCTAAAACCCCTAAAACCCCTAAAACCCTAAAACCCTAAAACCCTAAAACCCCTAAAACCCCTAAAACCCCTAAAACCCTAAACCCCTAAAACCCTAAAACCCCTAAACCCTAAAACCCCTAAACCCCTAAACCCCTAAAACCCTAAAACCCTAAAACCCCTAAACCCTGAAACCCCTAAAACCCCTAAGCCCTACATACCCTTAGGGTTTAGGGTTTAGGGTTTAGGGTTTAGGGTTTAGGGTTTAGGGTTCACCAAGCCCAAGCCTGATGTGCTCGGCGCCGTTGTTTCCGAGGCGCGGGGCCTGTTTGAGGGATGTGAGTTGAGGGTTTGAGGGTTGAGGGTTTGAGGGGTTGAGGGTTGAGGGTTTAGGGTTGAGGGTTGAGGGTTGAGGGGTTGAGGGTTTAGGGGTTGGTGGGTTGAGGGCGTGGAGGGGTTGAGGGGTTGAGGGCATTGAGGGGTTGAGGGGTTGAGGGCTGAGGGGTTGAGGGGTTGAGGTGTTGAGGGTTGAGGGCTTGGGTTTAGGCTTGAGGGTTGGGGATGTGGGTTTCTGGGTTTAAGGCACCGCTAAAGTCTTACTGCCCTTGAACCTCAAAACCCTGCCCTACACCCTGAGAGGCTTGCGGAGTCTTGGCTTGGCACAGACAGGAGACTTGTAACTTAACAGCCCTAAACCCTAAACCCTAAACCCTAAACCCTAAACCCTAAACCCTAAACCCTAAGCCCTAAACCCTAAACCTGATAAACCCTGAACCCTAAACCTTAAACTCTACCCTGCAAGCCCATTCCTGTCCTGCCGAAGGCCTTTCCTGTCTGAACCCAAAGCGGTATTGCGACATCCTGGACGGTATAAATTCAGTAGGGCTCAGGCTTTGGGGTCTTAGGGGTTTTAGGGGTTTAGGGTTTTAGGGTTTTAGGGTTTAGGGTTTTAGGGTTTTAGGGTTTTAGGGATTTTAGGGTTTCAGGGTTTTAGGGCTTTAGGGATTTTAGGGTTTTAGGGTTTGTAGGTCTAGCCCTCCTTGAAGACCCCCCCGTTGAAGAACGAGCTTTTTGCGCGTTTACCTAAAGAGCAGCCAGCCTTGGCTATAAACTCTTGGTCGCAGCCTAGCGCCTAAACCCCTAAGCCCCTAAAAGTACCCTGAGAACTATAAAGCCTTCCCCAAAGACCATCCAAAAAACTGACCTAAAGCCCTCTAAACTGATCCTAAAACCCTAAAACTCTTTAGCCACACGCCGTAAACCCGAAATTCCTTAAACCCTCCCTGAACTCCTGAAACCCAAAATTCCGTACATTCCCTAACCTTAAATCCCCCCCGGCAAGCCCTAAGCCCTAAACCCTAAACCCCAAACCAGCCTTTCAAGCGTCTCAGCGGAGGAGGCCACCGGCGCGGAGGGAGGTTGCGACTCCTGCATGCGAGGCTTAGAGTGTCTGGGAGTTTAGGATTTCAGGTTTGGGGTTTAGGGTTTAGGGAGTTTAGGGTTGTAGGGCGTTAGGGTTTAAGGTGTTTAGGGTTTAGGGAGTTTAGGGTTTCAGGAGTGCAAGGTTCAAGGAGTTTAGGGTTTAGGGCGTGGTAAATGGAAGCGCGCTTTGTGTGCGCGCACGTCTGCAGTCCTACACACCCCCAAGATCACTGACTTAGGGTTTAGAGATAGGGGCGTAGGGCTTAGGGTTTATAGGGTTAGGGAAAGGGACAACAGGGTTCAGGGGTAGGTTTTGTGTTTTGTGTTCAGGCGTGTAGTCTCTTAGGTGCTGGCACCCCCAATAAACCCGAACCCTAAACCCTGAACCCTGAACCCTGAAGCCCAAACCCAAAACCCTGAACCCTGATTCTAGTTTGGAAAAGACCCGTGAGGTCTCTTCTTGTGTGCCCCAGACCCTAAACCCTAAACCCTAAACCCTAAACCCTAAACCCTAAACCCTAAACCCTAAACCGCCTAAACCCTAAACCCTGAACCCTGAACCCTACATAGGCTTTTGAGGGTTTCGGAGGGGCCTCGAGAACTCAAAGGCACCCTCTTCCTTACCGACCCCATTAGGCAAGGAAGGGTTCATAGGGTTGAGGGGCTTTAGGGTTGAGGGCTTAGAAGTCATCAGGGTTTAGGGCTCAAAATTATTAGAATTTAGGGTTCTCGTAAGATTTAGAGCGCTTATAGGGCTCGTAGGGCATCTAAGGGGATTACAAGGGCTTGTTAGAGCTTATAAGGTTTGCCAAGGGTTTAGGGGGTCCTTTTTTTGGTATCTTCTCAGGTCGGCTTGGGTGCAAGACCTTTGAGACACCAAGGCCGTTTCCCCAGGTTGCGGTACCGTTTAAGAGGCCACGTACCATCGGGTTTAGGTTTAGTAAGGGCTATTATTGTTATCTACTTGGGCCCTGTATAGGAAGCATTTCAAGCCTCGAGTAATCCCTACTTAGGTACCCCCAAACCCTAAAACCCTAAAGCCCCACACCCGATACCCTAAACCCTATAATCGCTTCCCCCTTGTATTAAACACACCCTTAGCTATGAAAACACTAAACCCCAAACCCTAAACCCTGAGGAGATTTGGGACCCAAAGAGCCCAATATTGCTTAATTAAGGAATATATCTTAAATCATATTAAGGATCCCTATATGATTTAAGGAATATTCCCTAATTAAGCAATATTGGGCTCTTTGGGGAGAGCTTTTTTGCGCCTGCTTGCAGCCGCTTCGAAGCCAGCGCTTAGCGCGGCATCAGCGTGCGAATTCGAGGCGCGACTCTGGGTCACTTGCCGAACCCGCTTTAAGGGGTACCCAAAGAGCCCAATATTGCTTAATTAAGGAATATACCTTAAACCATATTAAGGATCCCTATATGATTTAAGGAATATTCCTTAATTAAGCAATATTGGGATCTTTGGGTATAAGGAGGAACCTCTAGAAGGGAGCCTTAATATTGTCTCCTATGTACCCCTATATGTACCTTATAGAGTCCCTATATACCTAGCCCCTAAATAACCCCGCCAAAACACCCCTAAGGCCCTAAACCGCTCTCACAAGCCGTACCTAAAGAACCCAGAGCCTAGCTTTTTTGCAGGTTACCTGAGAATCTGATAAGAGTTTTTTATAGTCCTAACCTACGAGATGGTAAGTTTGGGCTTCTTAAGGCAAACCGCGGCCATTTACTAGGCACCCCGCGGCGAAACCCGAAAAAGGAGGGGGGCCAAGCGCCCACTTCGCTCACAGCGCTTCGTGAAGCACGTGGTCGGTCGCGTCGGGGAGCCGGAACCTTGGTAGCCCAGCAACCATATCATAATGGTTTAGGGTTTAGGGTTTAGGGTTTAGGGTTTAGGGTTTAGGGTATATATCTCTTGTACCCCCAAAAGGACACCAGGTATATACACTCACCAATACTAAAAAGGAACCTTATATACACTCACCAAAAACAGAAATATCAACCCTGCGTCAAATCATAGTAAGGGCACCCTTTTTTGGCTAGAGTATTTCTTTATAAGGGAACCCATAACCAAAAAAAGGGTACCACTGGGCTGCCAAGAAGCTGTATGCTGCAATTTCTGCCCCCCTCCATGTGAAGAGGGGGCTCGTCGGGGAACTCGTCGGTCGCGCCCTCGGGCCCGAACTCCAAGGAGTAGTCGGCGTCTGTACCTTGGTAGCCCGATAGCCATCCTAGGCTGCCCAGTAACCCAGGCTCAAAAAGGGTGCCCCTTTTTTTTGCCTAAAGGGGTTTTATAAGGGAACCTAAACCCCCCAAAAAGGGAATAAGGGTACTACTGGGCATCCTAGCATCTCACAATAAGGGTAGCCTTTTTTCGGGGTTGGTTTCTTTAGAAGGAAGCCTTGAACCAAAACAAGGGACAAAGGGTATCACTGGGCTACCCTAAACCCTAAACCCTCAACCCTCAACCCTAAACCCCCAAACCGAGAGCTACCAAGGCACCAGCACCTTCGCCCCCAGTGAAGCCGGGCGGAAGATCTTCCGCAGTGGCGTCGAAGTTCGCCTGGCCGAGTTCCGAAGATGCCTTTAGGGTTTAGGGTTTAGGGTTTAGGGTTTAGGGTTTAGGGTCAAGGGTTTAGGGCTTAGGGTTGAAAGACAGAGCCCTCAAAGCTACCCTTTTTCTGAGAACCATAGTGCAGGAATCAGGGAATGAATCTTCCCCTAGGCTTTGCAACAAAAATCCCTCAACAAACCTCAGGCAAAGAAATCTTGGGCAGACCTCCCAGATCTTCCAAAACCCCTTAATTCAGCAGCACGCCCTAATTTATACTAAGGATCCTTATATTGTGGATTAGGGTCTTTTCCTTAATTCCGGGGATTTTTTTTGGAAGATCCTAAACCCTTAGCCCTAAACACCCAACCCCAAAACAAACCTCCCCTCTCCAGGTAAGCCTGATAGTCACCGCCGGGAACCAGAGGGGGAGTCATGCCAGCCAATTCCGCCCAGGTGATGCCATGAAAGAACTTGTGCTGCTTCACAGAGTCCTTTAATATAGGGTTTAGGGTTCAGGGTTTTTCGGGCGTTTGAGGGTTTTTTAAGGTTTTTAGGGTTGTTTAGGAGTTTTTTTAGGGTTTTCAGGGTTTAGGGTTGGGGCCCAGTTGGAACATGCATGACTCAAGGAAGATGAGTGCTGGGATTCCCTGCAGCAACCCTCTCGGGGTATGAGGAGAGTGATTTTCCAACTTTGGGGAGCTTGCTGTTATTTGCTTAAGAACCCCAAAAGACCAAAACAAAAAACAATCCCTGTACTACCCTCAATAAGGAAGGAAGGGGGTTCTTAAGCAATTAGTAGTTTACTGTAGGGGATGCCGAGCTGGCTTTCGTAGCTTTGGATTCAGCTGGGTGCTTGGAAGCAGAGATTTCCTACATCCTTAGGTCCTTTCTCAAGTATCTGGGTTTAGGGTTCAGGGTTTAGGGTTTAGGGTTTAGGGTCAAGCTTGAAGTACCTTGAACCCTAAAACCGAAACGGCCGCAGAGCCTGGGCTCCTTGGCTTAGTTGGGCTTATAGTATGTCGTTTTGCACTTTTGGCATAGGGTTTAGGGTTTAGGAAACATCTCGCAACTCACTTGTGCATGACGTTAGGATACGTACCCCACAGTATCGAGGCTCCCCTGCCCCCTAAACTCATCCCCAGCAAAGAAGCCTTCAATCAAAAACAATACCTACCCTAAACCCTAAACCCTAAACCCTAAACCCTAAACCCTACACCCTGGCTTTAGGGTTTACAGGGCTTATGCGGTTTTAGGGCCGATGATGGGGTTCAAAGGGTTTACAAATGGCTTTTAGGGCTTCTAGGATGCTAATACTAGAATGACTAGACTCAACAGAAACCTAGGAATAAAAAGGGTGCCCTTTTTGGTTTAAAGGGGATTCATAAGGGAACCTAAACCCTACAAAAAGGTCTGGGACCCCAAACCCTAACCCTATAAACCCAAAAATAGGGAAAACCAGGCCTACTCTGGCCGTCACCCCAGGGAAAACCACGTTTGGGAGAAAACCCTGTGCCCTGGGTCCTAGACTAGACCCAGGAGTAACCTTGGAACAAAAAGGGTACTGTACCCTTTTTTTGGTTTAAAGGGGGTTAAAAGGGACCCTAAACCCTAAACAAAAAGGGAATCAGTGACTACTCCGGGTCCTGGAAGCTCTAACACCTAAACCCGAAACCCTAAACCCTAAACCTAGCTTTAATTCTTGAGTTGCCCAAAGAGCCCAATATTGCTTAATTAAGGAATATTCCCTAAATCATATAGGGATCCTTAATATGATTTAAGGTATATTCCTTAATTAAGCAATATTGGGCTCTTTGAGTGTTTGGCCTTTAAACACCGCAGTGTACGCCCAAGCGGCGAAGCCGCTCTCCTCCGGCAGCCTCTTCGTGGGCTCCTGGGATCGGGAAGAGTGGAGATGGCTGCTTAGGGTTTAGGGTTTAGGGTTTAGGGCTAGGGTTTAGGGTTTAGGGTTTAGGGTTTAGGGTTTAGGGTTTAGGGTTTAGGGTTTAGGGTTTAGGGTTTAGGGTTTAGGGTTTAGGGTTTAGGGTTTAGGGTTTAGGGTTTAGGGAAGTTTAGGGTTTAGGGAAGTTTAGGGTTTAGGGTTTAGGGTTTAGGGTTTAGGGTTTAGGGTAACAGATTCAAACAACAACACTAAAGAAACCAACCCTGAGCAAACCCTTGGAAAGCACCCAAGGGCCTCAACAAAACCCCCCTAAACCCTAAACCCCCTAAACCCCCTAAACATCCCTTAACATCCCTAAACCCCCTAAACCCCCTAAAACCCCTTAACCCCCTAAACCCCCTAAACCCACTTGTGGCCTGGGTGCAGCCTGGCACAAGGAGCGGACCAGGTCTGCAGCCGGCCGGCGGACAGCCGAAGGGAACTTCACGCGGCCGATGCCCGACCTAGGGTTTAGGGTTTAAGGTTTAGGGTTGAGGG